ATATTTCTGATATATATAAATATAATATTATATATATATTATATTATATTATATTATATTATATTATATTATATTATATTATATTATATTATATTATATTATATTATATTATATTATATTAATATTTTCACCGTATATTTTGTAAATATAATATTTTCTAAATATAATTTTGCTTCCCTTCGAATAAACAATGCGCACGATTTGCAAAATACTCGTTAACGAATAACTTCGTTCGTATAAATAGCAACAATAATACAGAACAGCTGCAAGATTATGCGAGACATGTAATTGATATAATTCATTGCCAGTGCATATATGTATATGCATACTGGTACATAGATGTCGAAATGTATTATATATGTGCGTTCTTTCATGGGTCGTTCAACACTTAACGGCCCACTCTCATACCTTATAAAGACCTCTTAATAAAGCGATGCCGACTCGTATTTCTTCTCGTTCCATCGGGATTGGAATTTATGGCCTATAAATTATATCATGCGGTACAAATATTTAAACAAACAAGTTTGCGATTTGTAAATAAACATATAGCGGTGCTTAGCGGCACCGAGAAATTGGATTCTTTATTTTAATGCAATTTCTAGATCGTGTTAAACGTCTGAACCCTTGTTTAAGCGTCTCAAATATATTTTTATCAAAATACTATTTTTACCAAGCAGAATGCTTCGATACTCTTCTGAAAAATAAAGGATTTTGTGGTCCAAGATCAACCCTTTTAGAAATGGAGAAATGTACAACAACGGAGTTCTAAAAACTACAAGATCGCGGTACAAAAATTTATTCGAGCCGAATAATAATTTATTTTCTTCTGCTGAAATTGTTCCAAGTCACATCGCCAAGAATAAAAGCTTTTCTTAACGAAACGACAAAATTGTGTAGCTTAATTTTTGGTCAAAGAGGCCGAATAACTCGGATATCGATCACGAGTTCGTTTACACAGTGTGTCCCAAAACTCGTAATCCGGAAATGGAGGGTTCCTGAGGTGATTCGAAGTAACTTTTTCCCCAGCGAAAATGCAACCCGCGGCTTCGTTTACGAGTTATCAACGAAAAACACTGACCAATCAGCGGCGAGCTCGGCTGACGCGAGGCGGCCGAGCCAATGAGCGCAACTGGGCTTCGACCACGCGCCGCCTCGCGTCAGCCGAGCTCGCCTCTGATTGGTCGCCATTTTTCGCGAATAACTCGCAAACGAAACCGCGGATTGCATTTTCGCTAAGGAAAAAGTTACTTCGAATCATCTCAGGAATCACCTATTTCCAGGCGTTTACATAATCATGGGACACCCTGTGAAGCTCGTATCCGGCTCTCTTCGCCAACGAAAAGCAAAATAGATCCCTGCGAATCTGACAAAAGGTGTCAGCGATCGGTGCGCTGGCCGTACGTTGCGCAGAAAAGCGCGAAGACCGGCGGTGCACCCATTTAGAAACTTCGAAGGGAGGCACAAAGGAAACTGGGCTATAATCACGTGCTCGCATTGAATAAGAAGCCTCAGATCAGACGGTACGTGCGAAAGATCTTTATCGCTCTCTCGAATCATTGCTATCCGAACGGATCCACGCGTGTAGACGTGTCGCGGCGGATAACCGCGCGTTCCTCCGCATCCCCCCGTGTTGCAAGCGTCGACGGTGTCCGCGGTGGCGCAATAATCTGCTCCGCGTAGCGATGGGATTCGGAGGGTTTCGAGATTCGAGCGGCACGAGGAACAGACAATCGAGCGGTTCTCCGACGTTTGCCAGAATGCGTCGCGTTCGAACGCTTCGAGTTGCTTAGTAACCTTAAATTATTAGAAAATTAACTTCGAATCGAATTAAATAGCCTTTTAACTATTTCGAAAGACCTCGGGAATATCTTGAATATTTCTAATAACAATCTATGGCGCCAATCTATAGCGCCAAATGTAACAGTATAAAATTGATCGAAAGCGAAGCTGTCGATTTTCGAACGAATTTCTTTGTAAATTCCGATGAAATTTTACGCTTTTATATTTTTTAAACTCTGCGCGTTTTATGAGAAGAAAAGAACTATTCGGGAAATATTCGAGAAATTTGCAAACATCGTCGAACGACTGGAATTCGATGGAAATATTCGAGAAATTGAAAAACTCTGTTGCACAATGTTCAACTCGTTAAAACTATTTACTCAAGAAATCAATTTCTATGCGGCAACGGTGTCTTTTGCAATCGATGCGAACGATTCTTGTCTCGCAGAAAAAATCCGCGCTCCGGTACGACAAATTTTTCTCGATCGTAATTGACAACGAACGCGTTCGCGAGATCGCGATCTTCGGTTGTTCGAAAATTCGCGGACAAGTTGCATTGAACTCTCGCTACGAAATCCACGCCGCTCGATGATAGGTACTTTCTCATCTGCCTACTCACAATTCGGTTAATCGCATTCACGCGAATCAAAGCACCGCCGTGCCGCGCCGCGCCGCGCCGGGGAAATGTTGGCCGGTGAACTCGTTTCGCAGTGTTCTTCAGGGACTGATTTGCGTTCCCGTTGCGTTCGCCGCGCAAACTGTGGCAGCGTGTTGCACACCGTTTGCGCAACCTCCCGTAAAGACGAGACGATTGATGAAACAACGTACGGGTGAACAGCGGCGGACCCTCATTGAAACCGTCTGGAGCCAACACACGCTCGGCTCAGAATCTTCCTGGTGCATCGAGCGAATATTCGGTTCGCCGATTATCGTACTAATTCTCTTTTTTCTATGGCTATAATATATACATTAATTATTTAATAATATATAGATGACAATTTATATATTATAAAGGTATTATTAATTTATTTATTTATATATTATAGACATCATTTATGTATTACAAACAAACATATTATAAACTTAGATTATAAACATTTGTAGAACCATGTTCCTTTTTTCGTCACCGAGGCTGATATAAAGAATTATTATTATTATTATTATATGGTTGCTAAGGCTGAGTAAAAACTGAGTAAAAACGTGAAAACCTTGAATGTAAAAAAGTATGAACTGAAATGAAACTTATTATTACATCGCAATTTATTTGACAGCAATCGTACCTACGTATTTTAATGGATTTATAAAAAAATGTAACGAAGAAGAACAAACGTCTATCTGGTTCCCACATCTTGCAATTGTGACACGCCGATCAAGCGTACGCTCTAATAAGATAAATCGTAGTCCTTATTTCAATGAAATTGAATATTCGCTTGTCCTTATATTTCATAAAAATCCGCGGCGTAATTATAGCTACGCGATGCCACACGCGTAAACGTTCGCACGTGTATCTCTAAATTTAGCACTGTGTGCAGAGCGATAATACTTGAACGTATACATTTAGGTTCGCGAAGTCGTTTAATCGTAACGCGAGGTCTTTCTCCGGGACGGAGAAAAATTGCGGCTCGCGAACTTAGTTACGTGCCGTAGGTATATAAATTGAAGCCGGTACATTTTTAGAGAACAAAGACCTCGCGCGTACTGTGCGACTGCCATTCGAAAATAAAAATCTATATAAAGAACAATTTCCTATTATGCCAGATGCTATAGACGCCGCCGCGATCCAGATCGTGCGCGCGGGCTTTTTTATCGGCGGGGCACGTACCAATGTCTCAGAAAACATTCGATCGCTCTCATTCCAAATTTATCTCCTCGCAATCCGTTCTAACTGCAATGACAGCCGTATCGTAAAGTTCCATAAATATCCGCGTGTCTATGGTCGCCCCCAAAGAGGAATTTAACGTATCGTATGTATGCATCGACGTGTGGGAATCGTTCTGAAACGTTGTCTCGCCGAAACGAGGCGACGAAGAACATTTTTCAAAGTTCTCGAGAAAAAAGCTCGAGTTTGTATTTTCAGTGGCGTCGGTAGAAAATATAAATTAAGAAATCGCTCTCGAGTTGCAACGTTGCAACATCTTCGTCGTAATAAACGTTCGTAATTTGCTTTAATATTTTTACACCGTGCCTGATTTACAGAATTATTATTTATAATATTCCTGGTGCATCGAGAGAACATTCAGCTCTGTCGGACAAATTTTCTTTGTTTAATCATTTATTCCATTTTGAGAGAGAATTATGATCTATACATAATTTATTACACATTTATTTATATACTAATAAATATACTATTTATTTATAATAATTTATATTCATACTATTGTTTATTTATTATTATCCGGCACGGTCGCATCGAACACAGTCGCCACGAAATTAATAACGATACTTAAATAATAGCATCTGTTAAATAATATTTAAATATAACCCAACCCTGTTTATACGTAATATTAACAACGTAAGCTGTTTACAATAACCACAGAAACCGTTCGATAATGTTTAACAAGCCGCCGCAGCATGGCGCAGAGAAATTCCGTATAATTATTCGCGCGTTCGGCAGGCGTGACACTTTTACAAAAATTCGATAAGGATTACCGCGCGATGCCTCATTAAATACGGATTAAACAATGGCGGCCCATTCGAGCGTGTGACGCTTTCAATTTCGTTCATCTTGTTCGTACACGGTCAATTACCGAAAGGCATCCCCGAGGAAGATATTGACGAACTATCGCGACGAGGTCGCCGCGAAAAAGCAGATTATTTGCGCTGCTAATAATAATTTATGCGCCGTTTCGTCGACGACGAAACAATATTAATCGAAAAAGAAGAGGAACGAACATATTGCGAAACGTTCTTCTTTCCAATGAAAATTAGATTTATTATTTAGATTTTATTATTTAGATTTTATCGATTAGATTTTATTATTTTTAGATCTTCCTAGATTTATTTGCGGTCAGCGCAGATTTTTCAAATGCAAGGAAACGTATAATAGCATTTTTGCTTCACTTTGTTTCTTCAGCGAGTGAAATCTCGAATTTTTCCTTCTTTTGCATCGCCTTCGCTTCGAATCTCGTCGACGTCGCCTCGCGTTTAGTAATCGTTGCTCGTCGTTATCTGTTCGCAGGCGACCGATTGGTGGCTAAAAGACATGTACCTGTCTGTCCCGTTGGCTTTGCCGATCAACAGCAATCCCGGGCTGGCAGCGAGACCGAAACGATTCTCCAGCCAGAAAGATGCCGCCGTGTTCCTCGCAAGATTTCTAACGGAGCTGCTCAATTATCAAGAACTATTGGACGAGTAAGCGTAATCTCCGCGAACGCAACGTCTCCTCGAACTCGAGCGACGCTCGACGCATAGTTTGTACGATATGATATACAGAGTGTCTAAAAAATGTCTCGCAATTCGAAAGTGGCGGGTTCCTCGGGTCATTCGAAGCAACTTTTTCCTTTAGAAAAATGTTCTCCGAGGCACCGTTAACGAGTTATCAACGAAAAACAGTGTCCAATGAGAGGCGAGCTCGGCTGGCGCGTGGCGACAAAACCAATGAGCGGAACCGGGTTTCGCGCGCTGGTTGGCTGGGCCGCCTCGCGTCAGCCGTACTCGATTCTTATTGGTCACTGTTTTTCGTTGATAACTCGTTAACGGTGCCTCGGAGAACATTTTTGTAAAGGAAGAAGCTGCTTCAAATGATCCGAGGAACCCGCCATTTCCGGATTGCGAGACATTTTTGGGACAGCCTGTATAATACAATGGCGTAGCGCCAATCAACATCGTAGATTATACGAATTTCTCGCGCAGATTCGGCAAACGTTCGACCAGCGGTTCTCGTTCGAAAGAGAGCAAGAGGGTTCTCGACGAAACGTCCCAATGAATTTGCGTTAATCCCCGAGAAGCAGAAAGAGAATAAAAAAAGAAGGAAGCGTTCCTTCCTGCTTCCTTCCCGCGCCGGCACAGGATAAAGGCTTTCATCCTCTCAATGCAGGAGAGCATCCTTTACGTTTCTCTCGCAACGAGTCTCTTTATGCTCGCGTCTCGGGGATCTTAGATCCCGGATTTCCTCGCAGACGTGCTGCTCCCTTCGCTAAATTGATTTCGGTGCGGCTTCTTTTTGTCCGCCGACAAATCAGCTTCGAATGACAAAGCTCTCGGAGAAAGCTCGGGTTAGGCGCGCTCGGCTTCGTTCCTACGATTCGACACTTCCCTCCCCCCTTACCACCCCCGGACGATTAGATTAGTCGGCTCTTGTCTGCGACGGTGTAAAAATTGAAATTTCTGCTACCTTTTTTCCTTTCTATTTTTTCACTGCAAGTTCTCCCTAATCGACGCTCGGATCGTACACAAAAGTGGACAATTTTGGAAGAGATACGATTATTTTATAGTTTGTTATAATATTTAAACTTGTATTTAAATTAATAAACTATAATATTTAAATTTAGAATATTCACAGTTCACTGTTTATAGTTTACTATTACCTTATAGTTTCTATAGTAATTCCATTGTTATCTATCGTCGACAATTACAAAAAGGAACCGCGAGACTTATCGGATCCCCTAATCGGATCCCCTCTTCCCAAATTGTCCACTTTTGTGCGCGATCCGAGCGCGAATTAGGGAAAATTCACTATAAAAAGCGCGCATCGCTTCCGCGTACGCGCGAGATTTTCGGAGATTTACATTATTATATTGCTTTAGAAGTTATTCAATGCAGAAACAACCCGATCCAGTTTCAAGCTCGAATATTTATGCGATCGCAAAGTTATTATAATAAGAGCGTTATTGAATGCAGAAACAGCCCGATCCAGTTTCAAGTTCGAATATTTATGCGATCGTAAAGTTATTATAACAAGAGCGTTATCGAATGCAGAAACAACTAGATACAGCTTCAAGCTTAAATATTTATGCGACCATGAACGGATCGTGAAGTTATTATAATAAGAGCGTCCGATTGCGTTGCGTTGCGTTACGTTGCGTTGCGTTCCTGTTTCAGAAACGGTTTAGAACCCGACAAAGTGAAGTCGAAAGATGGAAAGGGGATGCAACCACTATGTATGGCTCAACACTATCAAATATTCCGCACTTATCGACGACCGGGGATCAACAGCGACGAACAAGTTGTGCTCGACAGGGCTACGTCCGGTAATAACATAATCATCGCGCATCATAATCAGGTATGTTCCGTCCTTTAAATTAGAGCCATTAGAGCATCGATTATTCGAATGTATTTAGCATTCGCTTCGAAGATATTTTATGTTTTCATTTTTTCCTATCGTTGTCTGTGCATACGAATACACGTTCGATCAGCTGTTAGCTGTGGCGCCTCGTTTTCAGGCGGCGACGAGTGTACAGTAATGTCTCCCTAACCGACGCACAACAGATTCTGCACAAAAATGAACAATTTTGGGAAGAGGAGATGCGATTGTTCGAGTCTTGCGGTTCGTTTTATAGTTGTTGATAGTTCAATAATTATAAAAACGAGTCAAAAGGCTCGAATAATCGTATCTGCTCTCCCCGAATTGACCATTTTCGTGGACAATCTAAGCGTCAATTAGGGAACGAACGCGAAGTAAGCGTCGCTGTTAAAATATTGGATCGAAAAGGCGGTTTTTAAGGGTGGTTTTTAACAATTTCATTGCCGATATTTACTTAGTCACTCAATATTAATATATATATATATTAATATTATATATAAATATTATTAATTAATATTAATATATTATCGATATATATTAATATTATAATTATAATAATATAATATATATAATATATAATAAAATTTATATATATATATATATATATATATATATATATACTGCACGCGTAATAAACGAAAAAAAACGCAGGAAAAATCGAACACCTATAAAAGTTGATAATTCGTCCTGACACAAAATTCTGCCACCGAACAAAACGCTGCGCCTGCAAAAAGTATTTTTGCCGGAGTACGTACGTCTTCCTGCGACTGTCAGACGTAGAAGAAATAAAACGAAGAGCCTGTCCAACGTTCCGTTGAATTTTTAAAGCTTCGGCTCCGACACAGAGAGTTTTATTCACTTTTTACGGTCGCACGTGTAAGAAGCGGTAAACGTTTGATAGTTTTACAGCGTGCCAGTCAGAGCTCCCGATCGAGGACGCATCACGGAATCGGAATTGGTCCAGCAAATTCTGAGCATCATGGAAACCAAAGCCGACCCGAGGACTCCGCCTTTCGGTATACTTACGACCGCGAAGAGACCGGCTTGGGCAAAGGCCAGGGAGGAATTGCTTAAGCGTGAGTGCACGATCCTTTCAAGAACAAAAATACTTCCGCAATTTTCGAATTAAATAAGTTTCTCGTTCGACTCCTCTCCGACCACCGTAATCATGAACTTGGTTATTTCGAGCAGGTTTCATAATTAACCCTTAAATTTAACCCCGCAAAATTTAGATAAAATTCGACGATTTATATTTCCTTTTTCTTTTATCACGTTTATCAATTAACGGTGCAAGATTCGGAGAGAAGCGTTCTATAGTTCACACGTGAAATCGTAGCAAATTCTAAATACAATAACGTCTTCTCTAATTGACGCTCAGATTATCCAGGTAGACAATCCAAACAAAAGTGGACAATTTTTGCTCGAAAGCTCGAATAATCGTATCTTTTCTTCCGAAATTGTCCATTTTTATGCGCAATCTGAACGTCAGTTAGAGAGACATTACTGTAGAATTTATAAATCCGTTAATTTAGAAATTCTAAAAATAACCTTGATATGACCCTCGCATAACCATTGCTTCTATAATTGTTTATGATACACGCGTTTCATTCGTGGAAGTCCGTAGAAATTGTTCGTAAAATTCTCATTTTGCATAAGCAAGGTTGATACGAGCGATCGTCGATTTATTATTTGTCTCGCGCGAAGGAGAGAAGGCAAGTTATACATTTTAACAGACAGCTATAGTAATCTCGTTGGAAGTTTTCCTGTTCCCCTTGTCAAGGTTCGAACACGCCGCCCATAATTAACCGGCCGTTCTATGTTCACCAGTATTCGCAATATTCCCATTAGCTCCCTAACGCGACCTTACTCAACGAGATCCTGTGACCTACGTCTGCAAATCGAATGAACCATCCTATAACGAGCTAACGATCGCGAAGGAACGAGTTGCCTCGTTTATCCGGCGACCCGACAATTATTGCATCACGACGTAAATAACTTTCTTATTTGAAAATTGATTTCGGTCTGAAACAATGATTAATAGGCAATTAAAAAGCTTGTCGCTCGTCCGCGAGTTTCCCCTAGCTCTTGTCTTGTACACGATCCGGATAACATTTTATTTAGTTTATATTTTTCATATTTTAATTCGCTGTTCGAACTTTCATTGGGAACGCTTTTGTTTAATTAAATAAAGTATCAAATTTGTTCTCTCTTTACGGGATGTATGTGTCAACCGACGCGAAATTCAACTAAAATTCATTATCGTATGCCTTCACGATTAAATTATATCGGGTGGCGAATAAAGAACTATTTGCTAGATCGATTTTTCCGTTCAACCTATTCATCAAAATCCAACAAACCATAAATTAAACTTAACTCGCGGAAATGCTTTCGTTTTCAAACGCTTTCGACGTTTCTCTGTCCCTCTCGATGCCATTTTGTTAATCGAGAACGCGACAAGCGGTCCGCAATTTTTATCCAATGGCGCACTATTTTTAACTTAACCGTTTAAGAAGCAAGCGTAATTTACAGACGAACGAAATCGACACAATCTGGATTTATTGGAGTGTTGCCTCTGCGTGGTTTGCATCGACGACGATATTCTGCCCGCCACGTTCAACAACCCGTTGAAGAGAGAAGATCGGTGGATCGGGGATAGAGATTATGCGAACGTGCTCCATCATGCTCTCCACGGAGGCGGCTCTAGACATCTGGGCGCGAATCGCTGGTTCGATAAAACTTTTCACGTTATACTCGGCAAGGTAAGCGTACGCTCCTGTGTACAGTAATTTCTCCCGGAAATGGTCGGAGATCGGAATCGAAAAACGGCAAATCCGAGAATACTAAGCCGCGATTCCTCGGGCCAGTAAGTTCTTCCCAAATCTATCGTCTTGCGAAGCTTCCTTTTAAATTTATCGATTGCCTATCAATTGCCAAAATGTTAATCGGTCGGAGATCGGAATCGAAAAACGGAAAATCCAAGAGTACCAAGCCGCGATTCCTCGGGTCAGAAAAATTTCTTTCCAAATCTATCGTCTTGCGAAGCTTCTTTTTAAATTTATCGATTGCCTATCAATTGCCAAAATGTTATCGGTCGAAGATCGGAATCGAAAAACGGAAAATCCGAGAGTACTAAGTCGCGATTCCTCGGGCCAGTAAGTTCTTTCCAAATCTATCGTCTTGCGAAATTTCTTTTCAAATTTATCGATTGCCTATCAATTGCCAAAATGTTGATCTCTAAATTTATCAGTTGCTCCATTAAATTTCGTGAATAAAAGTCAATATCGTTGACCAAATTGGCCGACATTTTCGTGTTCAATTTTCTCATTTGTCCGCGACGGGTCGACGTCGCCTCCGAAGGGTTAACGCGCGGAAGCCCCGGCTTTTGAAAACCGATCGCAGAATTTCCCCGTACAATTTACCGTCGTTTTATCGAAGGACGGGATGTGGGGACTGACATACGAGCACTCGTCCGGCGAAGCGCCGGCAGTTTTCAAGGCGTTCGAAGATCTGACAGAGAAAGTGGACTCGATGCCTCCGCCGGACGGTAACTTCGTGCCGTCTCATCTGGCCGCGCCCGAAAAACTCGAATGGCACTTGTCCGAGCAAACTCTTAATCACATCAGAGACGCTATAACCTCATTCGACTCGTAAGTACTATCGATCATCGGCTGTTATATGTTTCTGTCCGCGCGATATGTTTCGATGTTAATGAAAACGTGGGTGAAATGAAGATTTATTCTGCCTCGCGTTCGCCGACAGTTTTCAACAACGAGTAGGAATCGTCGCTAACGTATTCTTTTCTTTCTTATAAATCGTACAGTTTGGTGGAAGACTTGGATCTGTGCGTTTTGTGGTTCGAAGACTACTCGAAGGACTTCGTAAAGGCCTGCAGAATCAGCCCGGACGTTTACGTACAGTTAGCGCTGCAACTCACGTATTTCAAGTAAGAATTCTCGGTTAACGTTTTTTTAGAACTATAGTGGAGAAATGTAAAATCATTATGTGAAATTAGGACGAGCATCGCGTATATTGAGATTCAGTTATTTCTTGGTCGTCATTTCTGACCCTGGACAAATGCGGTCAGCGACAAGTTTATGTCATTTACAGTGTACAGAATGTCCCATAATTATGGTAACAAGCGTAAAATGCAATCCGCGGCTTTGTTTACGAATTATTAACGAAAAACGGTGACCAATGAGAGGCAAAATGGCGCGAGGCGTCCCATAACTATGAGACACCCTGTATGTATATTGTTATAAAACTGCGATTCGCTCTCGTCTCTGAGCAAGCAGTATTTACTAACTATTAATAATTAGAACTAACTTAACTAAACAATTGAAGCCAACTGAATAATTAAAAATAACTAAATAAATAAAATCAACTGAACGATTAAAACTAACTAAATAATCAAAGTTATCGGTTATTCCGAATAGCATTGGCCTAACACGGTCTGGTTCTAGTTTGCCTAATCGCTAACCTGGTTCGTTTTGCGCAGAGTACATGGAAAATTGGTAGCAACGTACGAGAGCGCAGGTATCAGAAGATATGCATTGGGAAGAGTGGACTGCATCAGGGCGGCCAGCCCGGAAGCCCTGGCATGGGCGAAGGCAATGTGCCAAGGGGATCCAGAAACTCAAGCGGCAAATGAACAGAACAACATCCCCGACAAAGGCACCAAAAGAGTTCAGTTCACCATTTACAGTGTAACTGCAACTTGGCTGTATTTCGTAGAAATCGTTTCTAGTTAGAGTTCGCATAATCGATAAACACGTCCCATTTACAAAAAGTACACGGAACAAAACGTATGTGTGACACCTGAAATTCGAATCACGGAGAAACCATTTCGTTTTTAGTTTCACGATTATTACCAAATAGTCGAATAATTTTTGTACATAGTTCCGAAAATCCTCCACTTTTTGCGCAAAATCGAAGCGCGAATTAGGGAGAAATTGGGATTCTAAACAGCTCGGTCATTTCTCCCTAATTCGCGCTCAGATTGCGCGCACAAAAATGGACAATTTGGACAGAAAGGATACGATTATTCTCGAGCCTCGCGTCTCGTTTTTAATTATTATCAATAACCGGTAACTATGTAAACCAAATAGTTCCGAAATCCTCCATTTTTGCGCGAAATCTGAGCGCGAATTAGGGAGAAATTGGGATTCTAAATAGTACAGCAATTTCTCCCTAATTCGCGCTCAGATTGCGCGCAGAAAAATGGACAATTTGGATAGAAAGGATACGATTATTCTCGAGCCTCGCGTCTCGTTTCTGATTATTATTAATAACCGGTAACTATGTAAACCAAATAGTTCCGAAATCTTCCATTTTTGGGCGAAATCGGAGCGCGAATTAGGAAGAATTTACCGTAATCCTTCCCGAAAGGAGTGCGTACACGGGGAAAGAACGGAAACGGAATGATGAACGAAAGCGAAAACTCTCTCGAAAAAAGGCAATCAATTACAGACAGGCCATGTACGGTTCTCCCTGTTCGAGTGTTTGCGCGATACTCTCGAGTCGCCTCGGGCAACCTTCGGTGGGGCTTTTCCGTTTGCTTTCTTTCCGTGGGCCACCCTCGTTTGGAGAGCACCGCAACGAGCACGGCTGTTGTTTCTCGTTTATCACGATGTTATTTCAGTCGGTTCCGTTCTCCGCAATTACGTCGATGTTCATCGAAAATGCACGATAATGAAATCGACTCCCTCCGCGCCCGTAGTTCTCTACCCTAACGAGCCTGCACGCCGTTTCCCATGGCTGGATCGCGCGATCGTTCCTACAGAAAACTTGTGGAGCACGTTACAATTAATAACCGCGGAAACCGTGGTAATTTCGCCGTGATACGCGAAATAGTCGGAGACGAATGGCGGAATTTGAAACGACTTCGAGAAACTGCTAACAAAATTTTAACGTTGTGGATAATATTTGTTTGATTCGTTCCAATTGTTTCGCAATGAAATTATAGTAAATCGAGAAGAATTATAATAGAACAGACGCGCGCGGAAATGGAGACAAAGTTTAACGAACTTTGCAATATTGAAAATTCAAGAAAAAGGCAAGTGAACACAGAACATTGATTTCGCGAGATTTGGACCGACACGGATTTAAAAATCTACCATTTTATTATTACTCACGCTGACACACACATAGCTATTCCAATATAATTCTGTTAATCCAGAATTTGTAGAAATTATAAAGAGATTAAATACAAAATATCTTGACAAATAACAAGCATCGACGAAAACGAGAAAATAAAGATTGTTGGTTTACGTTCGCTCTATGTCCGTTATAAAAAAGTTTTCTCAAGATCGATGACCCAACGTCTGCAACAACCCCCCTTCATTGGTTACATGTTCGTAAAAATGGCGGCTCGAGGTGTTCGCGTAACAACATCGTATTTTCCACGCTCGCGATCCGTGCAACAGAGAACGATCCCGATTCGCGTATCATTTGCATCTTTCTGCCCGTATTACGAAATTCGTGGTCATTACACGTGTATACGGTAACGGTCCGTTCGAATCGCGATTGAAACGATTCCGTTTCGCTCGTTTTGCAGCAGGAGAGATTGAAGGAGTTGTTCGATCTGGCGGTGCAGAGGCAGACCAAAGAAATGAACGACAACATAAACGGACAAGGAATTGACAACCATTTAATGGGGCTGCATTACGCCGCGAAAGAAGCCGGAGAACCGGTCCCCGGCATCTTCACCGATGAGGCTTATGGAATCGTCAATCATTTCGCCCTTTCAACGTCGCAGGTCCGTATAATCGTGATTAATAACAAATCAACGCTCGAAAGTTTTATGCGGCCTTCGCCATTATGGAAACACGGGAAACACTATGTTCAAAGTAACTTTTACATTTCTACAGATATTTATAAACGGAAACCAACAAGAAAGAAGAAATATATTTCTATATTTCTATTTTCTGTTAGTTTACTTATTCTTCAGATATTTTAATTTCTTTAAAAAATGCATAGTAAATTCTCGTCGACTGTCTCTTGGTTTATTGGACAATTCGGGAGACAACTCGAGGAACAACTCGAGGAACAATTCGGGGAACAATTCAGGGGATTTCTTGGACAATTTGGGGTGAGGAGACACGAGCCTGGCGACTCGTTTTTACTTATCATATTTATTCATTTTAGTCGTCGACTTTTATACAACTATAAAAACGAGCCACGAGGCTCGAACAATGATGTCTCCTCTCCCCAAATTGTCCATTTTTGTCGCAAGCCAAGGGACAATTGGATAGAATTTACCGCAGAATTGACTAGAAACCTTTTTCTTGATTTCACTGTACGAAATAACTGTGTATCGACTCGCGTGTCCCTGTTTCCAGGTGACCACGAAGAACGACGCGATCATAGGATACGGGCCAGTGGTTCCGGACGGCTACGGTTGCGCTTACAACATGAGAAAGAACGGGTTCATATTCGCGGTGACCGCTTTCCACAGCGACGGTAGAACGAACGCGACGAAATTCGCGCAAACGCTCGAGCAAAATTTGCGGGACATAGCAAGGATGTTGAAGCACGCGTTACACCAGTGATAAGACAAAATCGCGAACGCCTCGCCCCAACGAAACTAACGGAAATACTCTCAGAGATATGCGATGATGCACAATGATTTCGAGACGGCGATCGTATTAACGGCAAGACAACGCATTTGTTCAAACGTATCGACGAAAGTACGTGAATTAGGTTGAAACGCGCACGTGAAATTTCCGTTTCAGTCGTCCGAACTTTATTTTTAAACGAATTATACGATATACGTTTATAACGCTGTTGATCAAATTTTAATCGAATTGACAGTTAACAAGTACACATATATATATATATTACGATGTTATAGAATTCGAACGGGCGATTTACGATTAAAGATTATATTTCTCGTTGCAATCGATAACTCGATCAGTTGTATTAGAACGATCATCTGTATTCTATATCGTTCGCATCGTTGAGAACGCTTTCCATTTAATTGAATCGGAAGAACTCGCCCCGATGCGTATCATCTGTCATGATCTCCTGCATTAGTTTTTTTGAAAATGATCGCAACGAACGCGCGACGATCGCAATGATCGCGAGTGGAGTAATATTTGGAGTGGAGTGCGCAGCAAATTCTCTCCGATTGTCCCTCGGCCGGTCAACGAAAACGGACAATTTGGGGAGAGGAGACACGATTATTCGAGCCTCGCGTCTCCTTTTTATAATTGTTGACAATCGGTAACTATAAAAACGAGTCGCAAGGCTCGAATTCGCAAGGCTCCTCTTCCGAAATTGTCCATTTTTGTGCACGATTCGAGCGTCAATTAGAGAGAATTTATTGTTATTGTCTGTTGCATTCGTGTTAACTTGTTCATTCCGAGGAAAGTAGTCATAGAAAAGTCATCTAGCTGAAAGCGCTTTTTACGTGTTAAACAAATCATTTTATCGATTCTAGAAGATGGCCATGAGTGGGGCGCGTGTGTTAGGAAGCTTTTAATTAAGTATATTAGTCACCGACGGTGATTATAGCGCTGTAATACATATGATACAAACTATTCGAGAAATGGCAAACTAAGGATAGTCATCGTAGACTCCCGTATAGTCTATACAAGTTTTGTTAATCTTTGCAAGATTATATGCATTTCGTGTTGTATGTTATATACATATATGATATATATAAATTTATATATAATAATAAGGTTTCTATAGCGACANTACGATGTTATAGAATTCGAACGGGCGATTTACGATTAAAGATTATATTTCTCGTTGCAATCGATAACTCGATCAGTTGTATTAGAACGATCATCTGTATTCTATATCGTTCGCATCGTTGAGAACGCTTTCCATTTAATTGAATCGGAAGAACTCGCCCCGATGCGTATCATCTGTCATGATCTCCTGCATTAGTTTTTTTGAAAATGATCGCAACGAACGCGCGACGATCGCAATGATCGCGAGTGGAGTAATATTTGGAGTGGAGTGCGCAGCAAATTCTCTCCGATTGTCCCTCGGCCGGTCAACGAAAACGGACAATTTGGGGAGAGGAGACACGATTATTCGAGCCTCGCGTCTCCTTTTTATAATTGTTGACAATCGGTAACTATAAAAACGAGTCGCAAGGCTCGAATTCGCAAGGCTCCTCTTCCGAAATTGTCCATTTTTGTGCACGATTCGAGCGTCAATTAGAGAGAATTTATTGTTATTGTCTGTTGCATTCGTGTTAACTTGTTCATTCCGAGGAAAGTAGTCATAGAAAAGTCATCTAGCTGAAAGCGCTTTTTACGTGTTAAACAAATCATTTTATCGATTCTAGAAGATGGCCATGAGTGGGGCGCGTGTGTTAGGAAGCTTTTAATTAAGTATATTAGTCACCGACGGTGATTATAGCGCTGTAATACATATGATACAAACTATTCGAGAAATGGCAAACTAAGGATAGTCATCGTAGACTCCCGTATAGTCTATACAAGTTTTGTTAATCTTTGCAAGATTATATGCATTTCGTGTTGTATGTTATATACATATATGATATATATAAATTTATATATAATAATAAGGTTTCTATAGCGACACCTTATCGACTAACGACGCCGCACGGCGTCAAACTCGGTACTGTCTTCTATTACGGATAACGACCCCGCGCGAGAAATCAATGTTGCTGCTAATTTACCGATGCTAATTTACCTGCTGATTCGAGTACACGGTACACGTATTTCCGTTCCTGATAAAAACGACTAATAAAAAAGATTATTCGGTTCGAGGGGAATACACTTTCTGAAAAGGCCGCCGTATTCTTTCGAAACGTAAATTGAAAACAACCCTTTCTCGTACAGTATTGCAACCGAAAGAAATAAATTTTAAGCATGTACGATTCGTTGAGCTTCGAACGACCTTCCTGTAACAAAAAACGCTTCTGTACACGGGGAAAGGAACCTTAGAGAGTGTATATTTTTTAATTAAAATACGAACACATTCGTTTCAGAATATATTAAACGTGATTCTTGTTAACTTTCGCACATGTTCTGATCCAATGAATAAATCTTTTGATATACAGTTATCTTCCTTTCATATATTATTATTACTATATTATAATATAATAATAATATTATATAATAATATTATTAATATGTTATACAATAATAATATAATACAACGAGTTTCTTGTTCTGGAAGTGCATTTAAAGATTAACATACCATGCTCGGTTGTAGCTTTCTTATACCTCGTGATAAAGATACGTCAACGAAAGCATATGGACTCGTTTAAACGAAACATTGATAACGTAATTCAACGATCAGCAATATTTTCGTTCATTTAAATAGGACACTTTCTCTTTCGACTTTTATACGTATCGTTAATAGAAACGAAGACATTCGAAGTACACAGTAAACTCTCTCTAATTTTCCTTCAGCTTATAAATAAATAATAGACAATTTCAAAAGAGGGAGGAGCTACGATTAGTCGAGCCTTGCAACTCGTTTTTATAATTATCGACAATCGAAAACTATAAAAACGAGCCGCTCGAATAATCGTATCTCCTCTTCCCGAATTGTCCACTTTTGTTTACAAGCTGCAGAAAAATTGGAGAGAATTTACTGTACTCTCGACGTTAGAGGGAAAATGTTCTGCATGCGTATGTATCTTTACTTCTCGCGTTATGCCGAGGTAATTCGGCGCAATCGTTTCCTCGATAAGGTGTTAATCGTAAGGTGAAAAACGAGTGAGTCGCGCGCGTCTCGATTATTCGAGAAGATGCTTCAAGATAGCGAAGAATGTTTCTCGTACGCAATAATCTAATAAATTTAATCCTGGTAGAGATAGAAATTTAAGAAAAATCGTTACATCGTAGACACATATATAGTTATACATAATAGTTACGTCGTTGCTTGTAATTCGAGCTCGCACATTTTATCGGGCATCGCTGGTTGATTGTCCTGTCCTCTCTCCCTTTTCCTACGAACAAAACTGTCGCGCCTATCTCGACCAGTTCTGGAAGAGGTGTCTGTCTCTCAGGCAAATCTGTTTTCGCCCTAAGACTTTTTACGTGTCGCCGTTAAATACGCTTCGCTTTCGTCGAAAGCGGTTGAAGCTCTTTCATAACCGAAATCACCCCTTTTCCTCGTCTTTTCGAATTTTATTTAGGCATTGTCATACGACCTTCGCGAGTGGATCGTGATTTTCATCATTTTCAAGGAGGTCCTTTATAGTTATTGTTCGCGGAGAAATCGTGCCCACGCGCCCTAAAACACGTGCACTAATTGTACAAACAAGCCGTGCCACCCCGAACGAAATTGTTTATTAGATTAGACAAATTTATTTTCGCGAAACTGTTTATCAGCGCGCGAAACGTTTCAGAAATTGGAAAAAGATTATTAATTATTCTATATAATATTCTATATTCTATATAATAATAATAATATTATTATTATTATTATTATTCTAATAATTTTCAAGAAAATTATTCTAAATATTTCGAGCAACGATCGAACGTTTCGATCGGATCTTTTCGTCGAGTTCGTCTATTTTAAAAATGGCGAAAAATCATTTTTGCAAGAATAACGTCTCGTGAACGAATTTCACAAGCGTCTCGACGCAAAGAAAATACATAATTTCATCCCCTACGGTCCGCGTTGGTTCTCGGACAGTTCGACGCCATATGAAACGATTTTTCTCAAACTCTCGTTATAGTTCCGTCGATAAGCGCGCGTATCTACGTCGCGATCGTCGACGATTTCTCGAAAGATCTGCTCGTCGATGCCTCAATTAATTGCCACAAAATAGTCGTCGCGTCCTCAAAGAACCGCGTAACACAATGATCTTCGACGAACTTAGTCGCTGTCTCCTCATAATGGACGCCTGTAATCTCCGTTACACTTTCTTAAGAACGGGCATACGAGTAATAAAGCGGCCGAGTTCGACTAACAGCGACGAAATTGTTTAAGTCGCAGCGTGTACTAGGCAATATAGATCGATCGGTCCATTATTAAAAAAAAAAACCCTAGTCAAAGTCTTCGTCAGCATTTAATGTCCGAGCGCTGGAAGTTCCTTTCCTCTGAAAGCGAACGATCTTACTTCCGCATTGTTTCGTTATCGTTGCCGCGTGATAAACGTGAATATTTTACGCCAGTTCGTTACTACATAAGACACGGTTGAAACTATCGATGCTTTGACAATTATTTGTTCTCGTTGTTGTTTGACACGATATTGAATATTAAGAGAGCAACTCGAGCCAAGGGAAAACATTTTAATGGAACATTATGTTGACTAAGGTTTCAATTCAGACGAAACAAGATGTCCAGAATTATGGTATCTCCGGGAAATTAGGGATTCTTGAGATCATTTCAAGTAACTTTTTCCTCAGCGAAAATGCGATCCGCTGCTTCGTTTGCGAGTTATCAACGAAAAACACTGGCCAATGAGAGGCGAGCTCGACTAGCGCGAGGCGGAGCGCGGTCGAAGTCCAGTTCGGCTCATTGGCTCGGCCGCCTCGCGCCAGCCGAGCTCGCCTCTGATTGGTCACCGTTTTTCGTTGATAATTCGCAAACGAAGCCGCGGATCGCATTTTCGCTGAGGAAAAAGTTACTTGAAATCATCTCAGGGACCCCTCGTTTCCCGGAGATACTATAATTTTAGGACACCCTGTTCAACTTCCGTGTCCTTCGGACGTACCGAGTATGTTCAAATGTTTCGCCTAACTCCTAGGTCTGGATTAGGTCTGAACCATGCTAAGATAAGCCTAAAAGTATCGTAGCGTTTGGACGTGTTTGGCACATCTAATCGAATACGTAAGTGAAAATATAATCGGAGATTAAATTAGAATTTATATTTGCGTTTTTCGGTGTAGGCTTCGGTTGGATTCGTGCCTGGTCGGAATTACGCGAATTACATCTAAGATGGACCTAAAAAGCATTATGTATTGGGTATGCGTGCATACTTAAATCAGACCTAACTTTTATATCACTCGGTTTAAGATAGATTTCGAACTTGGTGTTTTTAGAAACCAACAACGTTCTATGATCTTTGTCAGTCTCGCCTTTCTATGCAAACGTGTGATCCAAAGGTTTATCGTATTTAGGGATAATTCGAGAGTTGCAACGACTCGACGTTCGGCTATACGTTGCAAAAGGTTCGGAATAATTTGCAACGAGCTGTTGAATTGATGATGTTCGTTCGTAGACTTTAAATTAGATTTTTCTTTTTATTGCCAAATAAGTGTGAACGATCTCGTCGGCCCTAGGACGCGCAAGGTTTCAGGAGCTCGAAAGAGGGTCGTATCGCGTCCACATAAAACAATACTAAACATTGAAATTTTATATTCGATGTGCATATATTTATTTTATAATCTAATGCATCGTTCGCGGCCATTAAATGTCTCTGATGGACGAGCAATAAAAGAAAAGATCGATTTTCTAACAAATGATAAAAATCATCGTTTTCGAATAAAGAAAATCATTGTCGAGATAATAGCGGCGTAAGTCACATTTTTCCTCATTACGAGAAACAAGGACTGTCATTGTTTACCAACACGCGTTTATCGTACACCGACCAAATTTATCCTTAAGATAATTTAATGTTAAGTGAATTTATAGCAATTTTGTAATTTATTTAACCTGTTTTTCGTAACATTTTGACATGTATATAGCGTTATTTATTCATTTATATATATATATACATTTTATAGAGTTATCGCTAGATTGCGAATTTTTAATGAAAAATAAGAATTATCAATAAGAATTATCAAACATAAGTCGGACGAAAATATCATTCCGTTTTTAATAGCTTTAATAAGTTGTACATAGCGTTAAAAATATTCTCGAATTCTTTCGACGTCTTTACAGTGCTGTTCTTGACCTAGCAATTAATACTCTTTTTTTCTCGGCCACCAGAGACCCGATAAAACAGGACCATTAACTTTCCATGCAAATTAATATTTCGAATTTTACGACCTCTCGACCCTCCCTTAAGCGGACTGGGGTTAGTTATACCGTACGAGATACCGTAGGAGTCCGGCATGTTTCTGACATGTGTTGTTCGTTTGCGTTTATAAGGACTTGGAGTCGCTCGGCACAAGCGAAAGATCCGGGTTCGAATCCCGATCCCGATCTATTCGCGATCGATCGACTCATTTTCTCCCACGATATATACATATATGTATGTTGCATTGTTTCTGTATATATACCGCGAAGCTCTTTTCGCCATTTCAGTGCACCTTACGCGAATATGTCTTTTCAGGCAATGTATATGTACAAACGCGTCTATCGATTAACTAATTTATTATAGTCTCTCGTAACGTATAATTATTATACAGATTTCGCGAGTGATACGCGGCTCGCAACGAGCTCGTTTAGCTGTAAAACTTATAGGTTGCTGGTTATAAATTTTCGGGATTCGTTGTCGTGTTCAAAGTCGTTGTTAATTTTGAAGGTTCTCTCGGTCGACGAGTGAGCCGAATATTCCTCGCACAATTATCTCTCCAAATAGAGCAACGATGAGACGGAATACTACGTGCATTAGAGGCTGATAAACAGTAATGAACCTCGTTAGATAGAGAAGAGATTTCTAGCGCACGGACCTCTCGTCTGTCGCAAACACATTTAAATGTGGCCAATCGTTCGTGTGTTGGCGCCCGCACAGTAAACTCTTGTCCAATTCTTAGATAGGTCAGCGGTTCGCCTTTCTCGATAGACCGGCGAACGTTCGACGAATAGCTCTATCTGTCTATCACTTTAATCTTCTACGTCTACTAATTAACTACTACTACTACTACTACTACTACTACTACTACTACTACTACTGTAACTAAAGCTACTTCGCTAAGTACCGAATTCTGTCGATGTTCAAAACGGTTCGTCTTTCCCTCGACAAATTTATATTAACAGATTGTCAATCGGCGCTCTAACGGACAAAATATGGGGTAGGCCTCTAACAGCTTATGGCAACTCTGTCCTCGTCCTATCGCGATTCTCACGGCTATTAGAACGAAGTCCTAACTATTGTGAAATTATGCCGGTGTTGTCATTGTCCGTAATGACATTTTTCTGTAAATCGTGAAGATCCGCGACGCTAACGATTCGATTTCATTTAATATTCGATAATTATATATTATATATAATCATCGAATATATATTATATTTATTTATTTATTTATTTATTTATTATATTATTATATATAATTATCGAATATAAAATAATATATACTATATTATATATTATATTATATATATTATTAATATTAATATATATCATTAATATTATATATTATATTATACTATAATAATATACTATATTTAATATTCGATAATATATAATGTCCCCTCCGTAACGTTGCGCTTATGGCAACTTAGCGTCGCGCGTGCTAGACACGGCGAAGGGTCGCTAGGGTTGCGAGGAAATTGTGCCCCTGTAAACTCGTGCATCGCCGAACTAAGTTTCGTCTGTTAGCGTGTTCCAAACTGTTCCGATACTCGGAGAAAACTTGCTTGAAAATATTATTACACGTATATGTATAATTTTGTCGTAGAGAAAAGTTAGCGGATCTGCCCGTATATCTTGTCTGCATCCGTAATCTCTAACCGATTATTAGAGGACGTTACTTATATATGTACAATGTAAAATGCGTTTGTTAAATATTATTCATATTTTACGACGTTGTTCGTTAGAATTTGTTGTATACTACTTCCGCCTGTACAGATATCCGTAGCGTAAATGTCATCGATAATTATCGACGTGTGTTCCGATAATTTACGAGAACGTAAAAGAATTTCGTCTATATCACCGTTACGCGAATAAGTTTATCGAGCGTTCAATCGAACAGACAAATTTTATATATTCAGAGTCTAAGAGAAGCTGCTTTTATCTAGCCGTAGANACTACTACTACTACTACTACTACTACTACTACTACTACTACTACTGTAACTAAAGCTACTTCGCTAAGTACCGAATTCTGTCGATGTTCAAAACGGTTCGTCTTTCCCTCGACAAATTTATATTAACAGATTGTCAATCGGCGCTCTAACGGACAAAATATGGGGTAGGCCTCTAACAGCTTATGGCAACTCTGTCCTCGTCCTATCGCGATTCTCACGGCTATTAGAACGAAGTCCTAACTATTGTGAAATTATGCCGGTGTTGTCATTGTCCGTAATGACATTTTTCTGTAAATCGTGAAGATCCGCGACGCTAACGATTCGATTTCATTTAATATTCGATAATTATATATTATATATAATCATCGAATATATATTATATTTATTTATTTATTTATTTATTTATTATATTATTATATATAATTATCGAATATAAAATAATATATACTATATTATATATTATATTATATATATTATTAATATTAATATATATCATTAATATTATATATTATATTATACTATAATAATATACTATATTTAATATTCGATAATATATAATGTCCCCTCCGTAACGTTGCGCTTATGGCAACTTAGCGTCGCGCGTGCTAGACACGGCGAAGGGTCGCTAGGGTTGCGAGGAAATTGTGCCCCTGTAAACTCGTGCATCGCCGAACTAAGTTTCGTCTGTTAGCGTGTTCCAAACTGTTCCGATACTCGGAGAAAACTTGCTTGAAAATATTATTACACGTATATGTATAATTTTGTCGTAGAGAAAAGTTAGCGGATCTGCCCGTATATCTTGTCTGCATCCGTAATCTCTAACCGATTATTAGAGGACGTTACTTATATATGTACAATGTAAAATGCGTTTGTTAAATATTATTCATATTTTACGACGTTGTTCGTTAGAATTTGTTGTATACTACTTCCGCCTGTACAGATATCCGTAGCGTAAATGTCATCGATAATTATCGACGTGTGTTCCGATAATTTACGAGAACGTAAAAGAATTTCGTCTATATCACCGTTACGCGAATAAGTTTATCGAGCGTTCAATCGAACAGACAAATTTTATATATTCAGAGTCTAAGAGAAGCTGCTTTTATCTAGCCGTAGAACGAATCTCTTTCAACCAACGCAGGGAATTGCGGTGTTTTTCCTCGTACTGTTATCTGAATACACACAGTTATATGTATGTATGCGAGTATACATATAGCTACAAACATTCACACACATGTACGCACATATCAAGTAGCGTCTACGTATGTAAGAATATTTGTATGTACGATATATATACGAAAGTGTTCTCTATATATATTGATAATCGTAAGCTGCAAATACCTATTACTTTTTAAGATAAAATAGTCGTACTTGTATACACGTCGCGGAATTACCGCGATTGCACCTCTGCGGCCAAGAATATCACGCATATCAGGCGAAAGCCATCATAGCGATGATTTTATCGAATAGGACGTGTCCAAAGTATGATAGAATTGCTTATAAAGTAAAGGTGACTGAACTAAAGTGTAGTCTGTATTCGGAAGTTCAGCTGAACTTTATTTCAAACATTATTATTGAACGAAGACTACTGTTGTTACAATGAAATTATACGCTACTACCTATGTCGGACAACAATTATAGATGATCTCGGAATCGCAACAAAACGGATCGATCACAGAATATACATGCATAGTCGTCTTCGTAATCAATATGTCTAACGGTTATTCAAAACTCGTAAGCACATATCGCTTTCCGTTCACACGGAAAGTATACACGGCATACCTCCGTAATTAAACAATTGAAAGTATGTTGTATCATGTGTATGTTTCTTTGTGCAAAAATAAACACTATTGTAACACCACGTTCCGCTTCGATTTTATCCTATTTACAATGTAACGTTTGCTTTACAGTTTCGGTGCGTTATTCGACTAAGAAGAAGCAACGATACAATTTAAATTTTTCAGAAATATACAATTCTTGATATGTTTGCGAATGTTTTGTGAAACAATTTTGTTCCGCACTTCGGAATGTTCCTGAAAACATGTCTCTCCTTGTCTTAATACTGAATGACTAAATTTTGTACTTTATAGTTAATAAATTTTTGTTTAATAAAACACGGGCCTACTTTACATGCGACGATTTCATTAGGAACTCTAAAATTATCGAGATAAACTTTTGGGAAAGATTTCTCAAATAAGTAAAAAAAATTTGGTGGGTGAAAAGTACTTTTCATGTTAAACTAATCAACAATATATTTAACCTGATGCAGGTGATAACGATGATACAAGATTCTCCGTTCTTTCAAACCGAAAGACTCTACAATTAAAATGACATTTTATATTTGCTGACGCGGTACCGTTAAATCAGCATTTACATCTTCGTATGCTCGAGCAAACGGTAGTGCGAGCAAGGCATTTGCGGTTAATCTTTTCTTTGGATCGTGTTGTAAACATTTGTTTACTAAATCAACTCCTTCGACGGACAGATTTTTTGGTAATGCTGGCGTCTCGCCCATTCCCACCTGTAAAATTATACGCGATAAATAAAATTATCGCATACATATGTACACAGTATTTCTATTATATATTATACTATACATCGTATTATATACTTACCTTAAACATTATTTGATAATTAGAATCATAATCTGACCATGGTCTCCGTCCACTGGACATTTCTATTACACAACAACCAACTGACCAAATGTCAGCTGCTCTACCATGACCACCCGTTTCTGACTTCATAAATACTTCCGGTGCCATGTATGCTTTAGAAATAATATTACGTTAGCTTTAGAAGTACTCGATAATAAATAGTGAAAAGAATATTTTATTTACCTTGAGTGCCAACGAAACCTTGCAATTCACCAGGCATAGTAGTATGCGCTTTAATTTGCACTGCACTACCGAAATCACCAAGTTTCAAGCAATTACCCTCATCGGTTAAAAATATATTTGCAGCTGTATGTAAACAGTATATATGAAAACAGCTGTTCGTAAGAACAACGCCTCTATCAACATGGTCGAATAAAACTCACTTTTAATATCGCGATGTACTACTCCATGAGAATGAAGAACCGCTACGGCTGAAAGAAGCTGGTGAGTATATTTTCTAGCTAATGACTCTGGCAAACCAGTTCCACTACCTGCTATTAAACTTTCTAAGGTTCCTTCAGCGCAGAATTCCATAAAAATTAACATCTCTTCCTGCAAGTATGTATCTTCAAAATTAATCTTTCAAGCAAACAACAAATTTCGTGTGAACTTACCCGATGAATTTCTAAGCCATAATATCTAACCAAATGTTTCTGCTGGATCCCTTCAAATATTTGCAGTTCTTCGGCAACTCGTCGAATTGCTCTGTGGTCTCCCGGTTGCAATTGTACTTCTTTCATGGCTAACAGTTCACCGGTCTGGTTATTAACTACGGTGTATACTTTACCAAATCTTCCTTGGCCTGAAAATATTATTTTTCGTTTGGTCATAATTCTATTAAAATACTAAAACCATCGTTTATGTAGATGTAAATGTATAATAAATAACGATATAAATACATTGAAAGTTCACCTATTTTAATGCCTCTTTGCCAAGTAAAAGTAACTCGTCTAGCTTTGATACGGACTCTATCAACAGCTTTTCTATCCGTAATTTGTCCGATAAGTTCACGACTCCTTAGTCTTTCGTCAATTTCAGAATCTACCTTTTTCATAGCACGCGTGACTCTCTCCTGTCTGGATATACTACGATCTGAGGTATTTAAAATCACTGCTACGTTTCCGTCGACTGCGGTTGGTGAAGTTGCCTTCTTCGTATTTTGCGTTATGTCTGGAGACTTAAGAATATCTCGTGGCTTTTGAGAAAGACTTAAACTCGCTGTCCGACTCCTACTGTGGCAAGGTGACGTAGCTCTTGAGCGTGACAACCTTCTTAAATCTAAGAATAGAACATATCCAGTTATAGTATTCGAATAAATAATGTCACGAAATTGTGTACTCACGTTCTGTTTCTATGTTCGTTGCGGGACTAGCAGTTCCAACGACATGAGATATACAGCTGTCCATAGATGTCTTCAATTCTTCAAACTCTTCATCGGTCAAGTGCTTAGTATTATGAGGTTCGCATACTGTAATTAAAAATTCTAATCCTTGGTTCGCCCATCTAGGCCTCAAACCTCTTCCTCTTTCACACCTAGTCCTAACAAATTCCATCCACAAAAGTGCAAAAATGACTAATCCTCGCGCTAGTACAGCTTTCTCTCCCGTTGTAAATAATTTGCAGGTTTCTTTATAATAGTCGAAACCCATTCGATAAGCCTGGTGAAGTATTTCTCTTATTCTCGATCGCATGGCAAATGCGTCGCATTCAGCTTTTGGCTCTTCCGCTTGCTCAAGATCACGTTCGAAATTTTCAATAACATTCGTTATCTGGTGACGGAGATCCATTACAGTTTCCTAGAAACAAGCAAGTTGTTACATAGTAAAACATTAATTTATCGCAGTAACTCACTTTTAAAGCTGTTAGGGATTCTTCTAACTTTTTATTGAAAACAGACCAATTTTTAATGTCACGTTGCAAACATCTAGCCAATGTGACACTCTTTACAATCTTCTCTCGTGCTTCGACAAACATCCCTTGCCACTCTCGTCCAACATACATTAACTGAAATCTAAATCACGCATCAGCATGAATCACTTATCTACTATTCGAAGTACTTCGTGGAAAAATTAATTAATTTGTTCTTACTTATTTGTCCAGTCTTCGTCGCTCCACTCCTCTGTACTTTCTTTAATTTCTCGAGGTCTCTCGTTCAGAAATTCTTTAACTTGTTTAATCATCGTTCTTGCAATTTCGCTGTAAACAAAAATACAAGAAGGAGGCTATTATCTCTTTTTCTGTATTCTCAAAAAGCTAATGTTTAAGACATCTTACTGTAAAATGATGATAGATAAGAAAGAATAATTACCAGAACTTGGCACCAGCAATTTCATAACCATCTAATATTTTTCCGGCAATGGATTTCACGAAAATCCATTCGTCCATTATTAAATTTTTGTGGAAACTATCATGTTGTACCATATCCACCCATTGTTGTAAATAGTCAAGATACACTTCGAACACAGCCTTCAAACTTTCATCAAAGTCCCTGACATCCTCTTGGAATAAATATTCGTAACTATTATCATCGCCAGCAACTGCCGCGCTAGAATGTGCAGCGAATCTATCACGATGAATGCATGCAATTCTAAGACCTTCCCTAAGTTCACGCATAAGTTGCCGAACAGACAATGGACTAGGTTGTTCCGGCTTTTGCTCCAATCTCATCCTCAGAAATTCATGAACCACGTCCAATGGTACTCGTGAAAGAAACACAAAGGCGGCCCTAAAAAGACACGACTGTTCTATGGCAAAATATAAGAATAACACATATAGGTTGTTGTACTTAAAATCAAGCAACTTGAATAACTCGGTTGCTATTAGCAATAGGAAAAAAATACATGAATCGAAATTTGCTCCGCACTCTGTAGTATAGAATCTCGTGTACATAACCTTCTCGTAGGTGGAGTAACTAAAAAAACATATATTCTATTTAAAGAAAGAAACATTTCCCTTACTTCATATTTCCAGTAATCTCCTTCTACAAAAACACCGTGGACATGAAGTTGTATGTCCTTAACACTAGCCAGTTCGATTGGGTATATTTTTTTCTAACGCCAACAGCAAACTATTCAAGTATCCCGTTTGAAGGATTTTCCCCCTGTATAAAGAATACATTACTCTATTGTTCTACCTATACGACGGAAGATTCAGTTCTCTAGCCACAGGACTCCATACTCCATATCTACGCAATTGCATATCACCTTCGTATTCTTCGTTTAAATTACTCGACTCACTTATATCACATTTTTCTAATGTCAGTCTTGCTTTTCTCAAAATAGATGTGTGTAATCTCTCAAGAAAATTCAGACTTTTTCCAAGGCCTCTAGTTTTCAATACATCCTCGATGTATTTTCTGCGGGATAAATAATGCGATTACAAATCGATAGACGAAGATATAAATTCTTCAAGTTGCAGATGAAATTTTACCTATAAGCTTGTCGATCGAATTCGACCAAATAAAAATCGAATCTATCAGATTTCTCGTCGTCTGTACATGTAAAAGATGATTCGGGAGTGGATGGCCAAGACTGTCCAACCGATATTCCAGCTGAAGAATTGTTACTATTGTTGCTGTCGGAAGGACTGGTACTATCCTCTTGCTGATTGGATACCTCGAATCTGACCAAAGTTTGTCGCTGCTCCGAAGAGTCCACGGTATCCGAACTTCGTGAACTAAATAAAGTAATATTAGGCACGTTTTAACTCGCTTACGACGCATCAAAGTTAACGCGATCTATTTGGTTCTATTACATTACCTAATCCCAGAATCTACAGCGTCGTCAATCTTTTTCTTACTATGTGACATCATTAGCAATTTCCCCAATATTTGTAACTTAAGCCGATGGTGTTTAGTCATATTGTACCAAAGGCACATTGCTTTCACTCTTCCAGTGAACTCTGAACTTTTATATAACGGATATTGTGCACCCAAAGCTTGGGAAGAAGGATAAAGAGCTTCAGCTGCGTCCAGTCTAGCTAATAGTCCTTCTATTTGTTGTAAAGCTTCTCCTTGTGCTTTGGCACAAGCTCTGCAATACATCGAAAGACATCCTGGACAGGTACTAAATTCTATGTTTGGACTAACGTTACAATTCGTTACACGGTCCGTACATGTATTACTAACGTTGCCCCAAAGCCCGGAATTATCCTTAACAGTAGCGAAAGGATTGTATCTGCAAAGAAATAAGTGTTATTTAAAAGTATGCATTTTTTAAATTATGTATTTTTTTAATATAAAAACGCGAGCTAAACATATACCTATATTCCATTATTTCTTTAAGTAATCCTTCCACAGCTTCTCGTTGCCTACATAAGTACTCATCTTGAGCCATTGAACTACGATCTGCATGATGAGCTTGTAGTTCCAGCCATATTAAATCCTTCCACTCATTTTGCCATCGAGTTTCTTCATGACTCATCTGACGACGACAATTGCGTTCCGTGCTCCCCTAAAAATATTAAACATCAATATTAAAGCTAACGGAACTATGTCCGTTATATTATAATATCCGTTACAATATGTATATGTCTATATTATAAATACTTATATTAATTACGAACATAAACATAATTTTGCAACGATTCGATTTTTATGCACGAGTTTCACGCTGAAGGGAACGGCATTTTACTTCTTCAGATAAAATTAGAAGCGATAATATTGGAAACATATCATTCACTAGATAATGATTCATGCCGATATCATATTTAAAAAAAAATGTTCAACGCAAATATTTAAAATCAATATAATAGTACCATTTTAATAATAAATCATGATCTCATGTTTTAAAAGTTTTCTAGTGCTGAAAATCAGTTTAGTAATATCGTATTGGACATCGATCGTCTGAGTACTCTCTCTCTCGCATAAGTTTCTGAGCACCGACCGTACTTTTCATGCTTTTATAAGCGACTTGTACAACTTGATTACGTTCTTTCGCAAGCGTGTATCTTAAATAATATCGATAAGTCAAAAATAAATGCTTGGCAATTATTGATAGAAATGGTACTGAAATAGATGAAGGTAGTAAATACAAGGTGTTCAAATAGTTAGAACGGTATTATAGATGTACGACGTAACTGACAATTAGCTGTATACGTACCAACTTTATGAGAATAGAAAACGTGTCGTGAAATTTTTCTCGTTCCTTAAAACTCGACGTTTTTGGCGATTGTGCGACCGACGTCGTATTATCTAGGATCATGCTTTGCTCGAGGAGTTCATGTGGAAACCTCTTTTCCTCGACGTCAACGGGCTTTGACCGCAGACACCGGAATCTATTTCTAGTTTCGATCTGTAAACACCTTCAATTAGTTGTTGCTTTGAACGGCGGCCAAAGAAATGTTCAGAATTCAAATGACACAGGAGGACGTTCCTCCAACGTGCTCGTCTCGCTCGTCGATACCTTTATGTGATTCGGTGTAGACACTTGGTAATGATCCGACTTTTCTGCATAATTGAAAGCCGCCTCCATATCAAGCTTTAAGTCCCTCTCGTTGCCGCGCAGCAATTTCAAACTCCGCTTGCATTTTCGGCTGCCCTCTTTGCTCACATCGAGATTCACCTCGTCCTCGTAATCCCGATCTGCTTTGTCGCACATCTCATTAAAAATAATGTTGTCCAAAGTGTTCCTTCTGCGGATCGTTACTTTGCAACACGGCGATTCCTTCTCCACCGATTTGAGATCCCTACAAATAAATAAAATTCTAATAATAATCTCATCGAAGGAAACTCCCAGTATCAGAAATACCGCGATCAAAGAGCTGTAATTTCCTAGCCAAGCGGAAATTCTATACTGAATTACGATCGGATCGATTCTCGGTCAAATTCGAAATCGTCCGAATCGACGATTTGCTCGAATCAAATCAACGTATAGAGTAGAGAATCATCGTTCTAGCTGTCCGCAAGTCAAATTGAAGAATACAGTGTTCGCTAGATGCGCAATACGTTGTGCACAATCTGGTGTGCGTTAGGTTTGGGCAGTTCTGGGTTGGATTACATCCATGTTAAGTGGCAGATACATTCGATTAGATATCAGGCGTGTCCGCATTAAATATCATTTATGCCTGAATTACGTAGATACGTATGACTATGCCTGACTTAAGTTTCGATTCGAGTCATCCGTCCTCCGTGCGAATCATTTCGCACATTGCTTCCACGAACGTGGTACGAACGATTTGTTGTTTGCGAACATCTTGTTTCGCACGAGTCATATACGAGCGCATCCGTTTAGCGTCGACAAGACAAATACGATCAGGGAAAGAAACGAAGAACGGACGAGCATCGAGACTCGGTTGAATCCAAGCGTTGCGTGGACTAAGCACGCATTAAATCTGTATCAGATATCGGTCAGATTTACCGTTTACCTTTCCTCTTCGCGGATCACAGCCGGTCAACATGACGAACGTCTACCAACTATTAACGAAACAGGTGGAAAATTGCGCGATACAAGGTGACCTTGACAACTTTCAAAGATAACACAAAACGTAAACCCGCGGTACCAGCCACCCAAGTTTAAAAATAATTTTCCGCCAATCGAGCGACTTCGGAAATACAATCAACGCTATAACTGCAACATTCGTTTCGTCTGTTCCTCGATCACGACGACGAGACAAGCCTTTTCAACGAACTATCGAGCTAACGAGCTTTCGTGCGCCGATCTCAACGTTGTTTCGCAGCGACTCGAGCAACAATTTGTTCACGATTCCACGCACGTCTCTACACTGCATCGATCATCATCGGCGACGGTTTTCCGCTGTACCAAACAAAAATACATACTCACATTATTTGCACGAATTTTACGGACACTCGGCTAGATGCGAAATTGCGTCATGGTCGGAGAAAATTGATCCGGCGATACGTTAGAAATTGGATTCGCGGCGGAAGGGAAGTACATACAAGTTGCCGCAAGATACTCAAACAAGGACACACTCGTGTCGACTGAGATATATAGAACAATTGGCAGACGAAAACGAGCAAACACCGATGCCGCTTGTCGGCTTGTTGACTTATTCGTGGGAGTAGAACTCTCTAGCGGGCGCGCACCTGAAAAATCAACTCTCCATTTGACTTAACGTCCAATAGCCTGTCGCTTCTCTAGAGTCGAAAGTAAAACTTGAACGAACGCGTCTGCTTTGAAATCGGCACAGTCGTGAGAATAGCTTTAGGCGGATATACGTATGTATGTATGTATGTATGTATGTATGTATGTACGTATGTATGCGCGCACGTAGCACGGTTAACTTACCCTCCATTCAGTTTCTGTTTCATGTATCTCTTCTTACGACTCATCCGAGTCCTCGGAGGTGTCTGTCCGTAAATATCGCACATCGCTTGAATCGACTCGTCGAATTCGCTGGTAGGGCTGCACGATCCTTTTTTGCTGGAAAACCATAAAATCGGCTCAGTGGAAATAGAATTTTCTTTAAATCTCGCGAAAATGAAAATGTATACCTCGTCGGCGAATTCTAACGTTACGCGATGCATTGCCAGAGTAATCGGATCGACGTTGCTGAGGTTTCAAATTCGCGTGAAAAATTCATCTTTTCGAGGCAAAAATAATCGGAGACGAAGTGTAAGAATTTTACTAAATTTCTTTTATATACCGTACTCTCTGCCACTACAGTAATGTCTCTCTTACTGACGCTCAGATTGTCCACTAAATTGGACAATTTGGGAAGAGGAGATACGATTGTTCGAGCCTTGCGGCTCGTTTTTATAATTGTGGGCAATTTATAACTATAAAAATAAACCGCGAGGCTCGAATAATCGTATCTCCTCTTCCTAAATTGTCCATTTTCGTGGACAATCTGTCGCTCAGCTTGTACAGTAAATGTCTCCCCAATTCGCGCTCAGATTACAGTAAATTCTCTCCAATTGTCGCTCAGCTTGTACAGTAAATGTCTCCCTAATTCGCGCCCAAATTACAGTAAATTCTCTCCAATTGTCGCTCAGCTTGTGCAATAAATGTCTCAGATTTCGCACGAAACTGGACAATTTGAGAAGAGGAGATCCGATTATTGTATAGTTAACTGTTTACAGTTTACCATTACTCTATGGTTTTTAGCCGGGTAATTAAGCCAGATGTCACACAGAAGGAACGGGGGTGAGCGATATGTGCGAGCTGTGTCGATGGTACCTCCGAACGATAACAGTCTTCCATTATGTTCGACTGGGAGCTGCGGTATAATTCGCAAGCAGAACGACGGTTTCCTGCTGTTTCGTTAATAGCACAAAATACAGCGTTATGCGTCGGTTATGACTACGTCGTACAATAATGATTCAAACTCTCCCTCTAAACACGAACAACAGACTCATTGATCACGGTTACACGCTTGTCAGTAAACAGGCGCATGATAAGGCTCGCTATTTACATTGCATTCATTTTTGAAATGTAAACACACTGTAAATAGAATCTGCTGCCAGAGCACCGATGAAGCTGCTATACGACGAGTGCATTACGATTGGAATAAAACGAAATTATTGCCATATATTCCAGGAGAGGTCTTAAACGGTGTTAGAATGCGGAGCAATTATCGCGGAGATCTTTCCAACAATTCCTCGCGGGAATAACTGTACTTCGCTTTAAAATGTTCTCGTTAACATTTGCCGATTAATTATTAAGTATCGGCGGCTCGATGATGTCTCGTAGAGAGACAAAAATAAATACTGTTAGATGCGTCATGAGAAAAAATATAAGCGGAAGCACGAGACGTCGACAGTTGTAAAAGTGTTATGTAATTTCGGTATGCTATCCGAGATTACAAACTGCGCTCAATAATAAGGATAATTAGCGGTGAGCATAAATAGGTAAGTCTAAATAAAATAAAAACACAAGAGAATTCGATAACCGTTCGATAAGCGTCGTCGAATAAGACGACAATAAGTAATTGTCACAGGTATGCATCTCTCCCTCGAACGTATTGCTCTTGAGCGCGCGCGCGCCCCTCCTATGCATAGCATGTACATTATGTCGCCTAGCATAATGTCGCGTGCAGTCCACGGGATGCAAATAGGAGAGACTAATGATGTTCCCATCGTCGTGCCCGTATTTGCTATTCTATCTTTTTTCCTGCTTCGGAAATCCGATTTTTGTGGACAAAATTAATTAGCGTTACGTCAAGGTTCAACGTTGCATTGTAGTAAATTGAATGAATTCGTCTCGACACCAGATAGAGTATCATGAAGTAACATAAATTGCTTTCTTCGAATTTTTACGTTTTGCGGATTCTAATCGACTTAGGCGGATATAATAGATTAGCGTAAAAATGAATTTTCAAATCTGAGTAAATAATTGCGTCACCAAATAAAAGAGTGACGTGGCAGGCGATGTGTTAATATTGTATATAACACATTTATTTAAATCTGTTAGTTTCTGCTCTGCGATGAGTTTTCAGAATAATTGGGGTTTCACTTTGCATTTCTGAATTTTCAAGTCTTCAAAGCGATATTCCCGCACACGTAATTATCTAATGTAGCTAATATGTTGGGTTTTGGAGCGTGAAAGGATTATCAATTGATGCATCCCAAATATAAAATATTAGCTTCGGGCATTTTATAGTTTTCAAGATATGTACTCACAGAAAACTTTCAATGCAATTCATTGAACGCAGCATGTACAAACGTCGCTAATACAGCAGTCGATAAAGTAGGAGCGACATTGGCTTAAATACCTATAGGGTGTCCAAACAGTTGGTCTGGATTAGTTTATTTTTTGAACGAGCGAAACGATTGATCCACTGTAAAAATTCTCGCGTTTAACGATATTAAATATCTCTGAAATCTCTGAAATCAAGCTCTCTATTTTGTATAAAGAAGATACCTTTTTCAGATGTTCACCCTTTATAGTGGCTGTTGGAAAAAGTGGGGGGCCTCTGCTGACCTACACACAACTAAAGAGGCGTAGGTATACGCGAGACTGATTGTAGTAGTAGCTCAGATTTTTTATTAATATTTTGCAAACTAGTAGATACCCGAAGCTAATATTTTATATTTGGGGTCCTCACGCCCTCCCCGCTCTAAACGTCGTCTTGATCGGCGACAAATCTCTTTCGGAAGTTTTGTTATAAATACTATAACAAACTATTAAATTATCCACTTTAGTTATCCTCGTATGTTTAGCACTAATAGAATGTTTTATTTAAAAAGATAACTCATGTTGTGTATAATATGTTCATCTCTACCTTTTTTTTTTAAGTTTCAACAAATTCTATACGAAACAGTTTTTTGGTGTTTTCATACAACAGAAAACAGCTTTGTATGCTAAAAATGCAAATGGAATCTGGTGACACCTATACGTGTGTTAGTACAAGTGTAACGATAAATGATTTATGTCCAATTAAATATTAAAAAAATATATCCTATCACAGTTTAGCAAGTGTAAATCTGAGACTAATGTTTGTCATGGTAAAAATTATTTAAAACACATGAAAGATTTGAAGGTTATCTTCAGTGGTTTATCACCCACAAATTATTTCTGAGATTCATTAACGACACTCTAAATTTTGCACTCATGCGACATCGGCACCAACACGCATTGACAAAAAGAGTAGCTTCATTAAATTTCAGTAAGAAACTAGTACAAATTACTATGTTTCTTTCCGTACAAGGAATGTTATTTATAAGGTTGAAACGAGTAACTTCGTAATATTACTTAATCAGGTTTAACGGTCTGCAAAATTCAATCAATAATAAATATCGTCGTTGTATATTCTTCCTGCATTTCTAAATAACGTACACGTACTATCGTTGTAGACAGTATATGCAAATTCTCTAATTATTTAATCAGCTTCGTATCGAGTAATCTCACTTGCGCATGTAACAGACGTCGTATGTATTAAAATAACCATTTTTCACATAGGACAAACAATGTGATAAATACACCGAGCTATGCTACTTTATTCTTTTAACATCCACGATTGTTGTAATCGGCATAACATCGTCGTTCTACCAAAATGTAATTGTTGCAACGTAATATTAACAAAGCAGTCGGTGTAGCGTAAACGAATATTCGCAAAACAACAGTTCTGACGTCCTGACGATTAGCGAGCATATGCAGTCTTCCCATTTATTACGTTACATAAAAGTAGAATCAGCTTTACCCAATATTAAAAATGGACAAACGTTTGGTGACATGTAAACAAAGTATGGACATCCAATCGCGTATCGAGCCGGTCGCTTTTTGGTAAAACACGAAAATTCGCCAACCACGTGCTTAAGTTGTAAGACGTATAAAACTCACTTAATTAGACCAGTCTCGTCGTCGGAAGAGCCTGAACAGGTATTTTGAATGGTATGGTTTCGTCTATTATATCTCGACATTCTTCGTCCATAAAAAGCACACAACATCCGAAACAACGCTGTCGACGTCTGCGACGTCCACTGAAAAACTTAGCGCAGGTGCAATATCTTGCACTGTTGCCAGATGAGTTGAAGTATGAACAGGTGTCCCAGTCAATGAAAATGGACACGTGACAGCGCGGGAAATTTAAGATCCTTAGTATGTACTTCTTTCACATGTCTACACTTATTTCGTAAAAAACACAACAGACAATTAATAGTATTAAATATGAAAATATATTGTATAAAACAATAAAAATGCAATACTACTTCGTAAGGTTAAATCAGAACAAACAGTATACTATCTATAATATGCGATTTATTTATACACAATAATGAAGAACACGCAAGATTATGTTAGTAAAGGAAATATTATTTCCATAGTTTTGATACTATTGCTTGGCTTTCAACAAATATGTGTTTGCGTTAGCGTGTTTGGTGTAATAATAATATACTTCACACGTATGATATGATCGTTTTATTAAAGTAAAATACAAGTGATTCTTTTTATATATCCTCGCACCCAACAAGTAATATTATCCTTCAATAAAATACAATGTCTATGCGTCTCCGTGATCGTACCTTGTGTGTAGCATGTAGCATGTGTTCATATGTGGTATGATCAAAATAGAACTTTTGGTCGTTTTTTAATAACTTCACGACAAAATGTCCATGGTCTTCGAAAATTACAAGAATGTTTTGTTTTATGTTTTTTTTGGAGAAATAGAAATGTATTTTCTCGTCTACCTTACTTTAACACGCTTGGATATGTAGTGACGGAAAAATCGTAGCACCGTGATACGATGAAGGCGATGCGCACCACAGATTTACAATGGTGATCACAAGAAATTTTGAAATTTCTATTTTTAATAATCCCCGTTAGCTAATTTAGTTACAGTCATATAATGCTATAATATAACATAAATACATCCCGCTCGCATTAAATGTTCTGCTAATAGGAAAGTAAATGTGAAATCATAAATGTTTGTATATTTGATGGCAGCATATTTAATCCTCAATTATAGTATATTGTGTTATATTATAGTATACTTAATATACACAGTAATTTAGTCTAATTTAAAGATACTTTATGCAAAAGAAAAGCAGAAACAAGCTAAACTTATTACTATTGAGAAACTCCTTTAGTTTGTTTTAATGCANTCTGCTAATAGGAAAGTAAATGTGAAATCATAAATGTTTGTATATTTGATGGCAGCATATTTAATCCTCAATTATAGTATATTGTGTTATATTATAATATACTTAATATACACAGTAATTTAGTCTAATTTAAAGATACTTTATGCAAAAGAAAAGCAGAAACAAGCTAAACTTATTACTATTGAGAAACTCCTTTAGTTTGTTTTAATGCAAACAAGTGCACATATAGTGTATTCATTGATTTTTGTATAGTTTTAATTAAATTATAATCTAATTTAATTCGTCTAAATCAATACATAG